AACCAGTAAAACCTACATAATTCTGCATATCCCTCCTCCTATCTACTCAAAATGTGTACAGCAGTTCAGGATTTGGTGACTCGGTGGCGGTGGCGTCCTCAGCCCGTGGCTCTTGTCTTCGTTTAGCCGAGCACTTCAATCGGCGCTGCACCGCTTTGCGGCGCTTCACTACCGGTTGGTAGGATTCGTCACACGAATCTTCGGCTCCAATTTGGTTCACCTCACTAGATGTGACATGATCGTGTCGCTCGTCCCATTTCCATATTGCCGTCACACCGTCCCACTGGAAGAATTTTATGTCAATCAATGATTAATTTGACAAGGAGTAAACTGTCTTGTCTGACGCAGTCCAGAAAATTTCACGTTCATGCGCTCAGTAGCTCTTGCGGGCCAAAGTCCTTTTAATTCGATTAGACTAATGATATTCGACCTAAGATGAAATAACCTAACCTAAGGTTCAATAATGTGCCTCCACAACGAGAAAATGCACATCCCCTTGCGTGCGTGCGAGCGTAATGCATGGTGTGAGAGCTATGGTTATGCGCGTTCGACTACACTCAGCCGCATTTTGTTCGAAGCACGATAATGTTCAGTCCTAATCAGTCGTTGTTTTTATAAGACTGCTCTCCGGGTCTCTTTCTACACTGGCCGCCTTTTAGAAATCTATGAAAAAGTAAGCATAAAAAAGATTAAGCTTTCGGGCATCCTTTCCTTAGATGAAGCGAATATGATAGACAGCGCATCGTAGAAGTACGTGCGCCACACGAAGCAGTAGCTTGGCTGCCAAGGGAAGCGAGTGTGGCGCTTTCACGACGAAAGGTGCGCTGGTTGCTGAGCAGGACTTTAAAAGCGCTCCGCCCCCAAAAGCGTCCACCCATTAGTTTTGAAGCAACAATTCCAGATCGAATTTGCGGGGTAAAAGTCGATAATGAAAAACGCCGGCGAAGCCTAACAGGAGCTTCCCCTCTTAACCTTTGAAATGAAGGAAAAGGAGTGTCGGACGAGTTGAACTAGTTTGCTTCTCCGGCATTTATTGCTGGCTCGTGCCAGCAAGAAATGCGGCTGTCACATTTGCACTAATCTAACAGAGACATATGCATCAGTACAAAGAAAGAAATACAATAATTAAATGAGTTAAGCAAGTAAAACCAATCAAAAGACGCAGCATTTATTTCGAAACACGGGATAGTTACAAGGGATCGCGCAGGACAAGCTTCCGATCACGCGACCTCCACGGCTAGGAAGTGGGTGTTGCCAAAGGTTTTCAGCCTTCAGAGGCGTTCAACCCCCTTTCTTGCGGCTTTCCAGGGTGAGGTTTCTATTCACTTACACTTCATATGTTCTTGACTGTGGCTAGTGCATCCTTTCACCCCATCAGTATCGTAGGTAAGAACCCTGCTGAGACTGTTGCTTTTAGTTGGTGACATGGACAAACTGTGTTGCCAGCAGTGGCCATCTGGTGTGTTGTCAGCAGTGGCCAACTGGAGCAACTACAGTGCAGCAAGAGTTGACATGGTACCACCAAAGGCACTTGCAGTGAACTCGTCCGCCGCCTCAGAAGCTGCCCGCTGTGCGAAAATCAGACACGAGAGGTCCTGTTCTGCGTTTTTTGACCGAAGTCTGTTTTTTTGGCCATTGCCGTACATTGAGCACCTCCATGTTCCCGTTTAAAAGCACGCTCCCGGACTAGCTTCGCTCCGGCATTGTTCATGCCCGGAAGAGGGCGAAAGTAGACCAAGTGCCTGATTCGTCGCGCCCGCTTTGCGCTTGAGAAGTGTGGCCGAGAAAGACTGCGAAGGGGCTCGTCCGACCCGCAAGCCCCACCCTCCGCTGTCGGTTGCCACGTGGCGCTGCTTGAAAAACGCGGGCGCATTTGAGGCAGCGGTCCCATTGCGACCTGTCATTGGCACTGAAGCAACTAGAGTTAGGTTCGTGAAACTCGTCCAACGCGCCCCTACTCTATCTCAAAGTGAAATACGGCTGAAACAGGGGTCTGTGCGAAGCGTGATTTGGTTTCGTTTGCTGCTTTCCTTCCACTTCCACATCACCATCCACACCTTTAGCTTTCATACCGAACGCTTTTCCAACACCTATTTCATCTCGAATTCTTAGTCCATTGGAACCACTCCAGAACTAACATCAACGCACCTTTAAGAATTCGAGGGCATTTTCTCTTTTCACAACACAACTTAAGGTAAATTGAACAACACGCCAGTAAATCCATTCTCATGGGTCCATCCACATCGCGGCACAGCTCTACGTGACCCCAATCTCTAGCAACCGGATTTGAACCCGACTCGTTCGACGACGATGATGACGAGTTCGCTAACAAGTCATAAACTGCAACAAGGTGGTTTCAGTTAACCCAATTCGCAGTTCATGCCATCAATTCTACTTCTAAAAGCCATTGACTCACTGACGACCTCTCCTCGTGCACATCCTGTATAAATGAACTGCTTGCCAGTCCTACTTGGTGAAAATTTAGCCCTCACCAAGGTGTGCAACACACTATGTCCTCTTAGAGTTATCACAGATGTGTCACCTAAATTTCAAAGTAAATTATGACAACAAACAAGTACCTCCGCAATCAGAACCTACCTTTCAGGGGTGTAAGGGTGCAAGGAGGTGCTGGCTGCCACCGATAATCCCATGATTGCTGTCGTACACAATTCACTGTTTTCCGCTGCAATATTTTCTTACTACTATCTGCATATAATTAGTACCAGAAACATATAATGCATAGCCCATTTAATTAAGATGTCCTCCTCACCACTGTCTCTTCATTCGAAAACCGGCGCAGATCCCATAACTTTATAGTTTGATCCTTTGAATTACTCAGGAGATACCTATACAGATGAGTAGGTTAAGAAGTCATGTTTCGAGACATGAATTTCGACAATTTACCTATCATCACCACGTGCGTCGATGTAAGTAATCCCATCACGGTGACCAGCGAACACCCCAACTGGATGATAATCCAGTTCTCCAAGAGCTCGTCGGTCGTAAACCTGTAGTGATGATGGCAAAATGGAAAAAATTGACAAAATGATCTCAGCAAGACGCAAGAAATATTAGTTAGAAAGAAACAGCTCCAGTTTCAATTTTTCTTCATTTGGATCAGCCAAACTCAAGCTAGATTCAGGGTAACTGGCAAGGATAGAAATGCAGGAATTTCACCCGTGCCCCAATCAGTCAGCAATTTCTCATGCAGAATCCGAAAAAGTTCGACATTTACAAGGGAGGTCGTTCAGGGTGTGCCAAGCTTTTTCAAAAGGTTTCTTGCATGGGGCACATGCGGGAACCACAGAACCATGGTTCATTTTTCCTGAACGGCCCTCTGAATACCAGAAAAGGGGTCCCTAGTTCGATTCCTCGTGGTGACAAATTTTTGCATTTCGAGTTGACGTTTCAAAATTCGCGCAAAATGGAGTTAGCATGAATAATTAGTACCATATTCATGATTAGGACCGTCAGTAACCCTTACAAAAAGACTTTGATTAAAAAACTGGTGAAAAGGTGTGACACCAAAACGGCCCCACTGTGGTGTCACACCTTTTCCACCAGTTTTTAATCAAAGTCTTTTGTAAGGGTTACTGACGGTCCCTAATCATGA